AACCTGGGTGCTTTCGATCAGCAAACACAGAATAACTCACGTATTGCTTTTGCACTGAGAATACGTATTCTCACTGGAATTATTCTTGTGAATGAGGTTTGGAATGCATGGTATTTATAAGGTATTGAACCAATTGCCTTCCCCACCACATCCACAAAGAAAAACGCAAAGAGCGGAGAAATGATCATGCTTCTCTATTCAAATACTCAAATAACATCAGGAAGCTAATAGCAAGCAAATCCCAAAGGCAGTGAACTCTCAAGAACATTACTGTGAAACATTTCATCACAAATTCTACCATAACATGCTCATTTCTAATCGAAATTCAACGAAATTAAAGTCCAAACGTGCGTCATGTCAGCCCCAAGGTACCGAGCCACAAGGACCCGTGACACCCGGTCCGAAACGACACGTAGCTGAGCCACAAGGGCCCGGTCACTGCACAGGTAGCCTGTAACAGAGCTTGCGGCGGGGCTAGAGGAGCCCCGCCGCCTGGGATCGCCCAGCGATGGCCTAGGGCCACGGCCCTTGCATAGGGCTGTGCCCTAGAGCCGTCCCATCACGGCCCTAGCCAGCGGCTCCCCTCATGGGTCGTTGGCTAGGCACGTGACTCTAGTTGGTGCACACTGTGTTGTGCACCAGAGTCTTCTTCTTCACCTGTAAGGCATTTTCAGACAATTTTCCACTTCCAAAACATCATACAACACCAACAAATCATCTAATAGCTCAAACACACAACATTCTAGCATTTCTACTAATTTCTATCCACATAACAGTGACTTCACAGAGTCAAAAGAGGTTGGGAATCCATGGGGTTATACCTTGTGCTTCTTCCTTTTCTTGTGTGGATCCCTTCTCTTGTCTTTCTCAGATGATACCACATTCACCACCTATTTCTGTGATTTTTCTTTCTCTGTTAACAGACTTGGAGTGGAGGAAGCAATGGAAGAGATCCGGAGGAATGAAGGGGGTACTATTCTATTTATATGGGTTCAAAACCCTGGGTAGATCATCAATGATTGGTTGGTGGCAAAATGGTAATTTGGCTTGACTCCTTAAAAATATCAGACAAGGGAAGGTGGAGTCTAGTGGTTCACCAAGCATCATGGACCAAGGTCTAGAATCATGGTTTTAAAATAGTTTTGGGGTAAAAATGCATTTTTCTAAAAATACTTTCTAGACAACCACTTAGTTTAGGTTTCTCAGATTTCTACCGGTTTCACTCAGATTGACTTTCGGATCAAAAAATAGGTACGCAATGTACCCGAGGATTTAGGATTTTAGATTTAAAATAAGTCCCGGTGTTGAATTTATTTAAAAGTGGTTCAAAATAATTTATTCAGACACCGATTTCATCGCAAAAATATATATATATATATATATATATATATATATATATATATATATATATATATATATATATATATATATATATATATATATATATATATATATATATATAGAGTGAAAATGGCTATTTTGAAATTTCTTAAAAACGAATTTATAAAATTAAATTTTGGGTTGTCACAGTAGTGGTGCTAGAGGCACGGACCATGCGAATGACACTTCGGTGCTACCATGTTGGTGGACTTGTTGGTGGTTACGGAGTGGGGCATGTAGTTGCTCCGGATGAATAAGGGAGGCGATATAAGGGTGGCGTGGAGGTACAGGTTGGAACTGATATAAGGATGGGGAGGAGTAAAGGTTGGAACTTGGTATAAGGTTGGAAGATGGATTGTGTGTTCTGGTGACTATTTGCTAATTGTTGATTATTGAGTCCCGATGCTTGTCTTTAATTGTTAATTATGTGCTTGCATGTTTATTATATCTTACAAATGTAGGATGCATGTTAGTGGTATTTGTAATGTTGATCCGTTGTTATATTCTAAGTCTTGCCCTTGATTTGAAAGCAGTGATGCCTAAGACTATATATATATTCCAATTTCAAAATGATTTCCTATATTTATATTTATTGTACTTAACGTTTGGGAGTGGATTACTCAGCATTATTCGCTGACGGTTGCTACAATATGTTTTTCAGGTAATGATCATTAGCTGAGGAGCGCGCTAGATGGACTCGTAGTTTTAGTCTAGTTAGTCCTAGTTGTGGTATTTGGCCTGCGTGCCGTGGATTGTAATGGTTTATCGACTTATGAATTTCACCGGCCTGTCTGGATAGTCTTAGCCTGTGCATCTAGGTTCCAAACCTAGGTGTGGCATAACACCCCGACGATTATGTTTAGTGTATGCTCTATTTGGATAATTATTATTAGTCTGCCTTTATTTTATAAGTCTTTTTTTTTTCAAAAAAAAAAAAAATTATAAGTCTTTAAATGCTTTAAAAATTAGGGGTGTTACAGTCATGATGTACACCCGACCCGAGTATGGCGGGGTATATGACTACCACACATCTCACAACACATGAAACATGTAGGGGAAAAACTACCACTACCAAATATCAATAGGTGCTTGTAAGATAAAGAGTTCATAGTACAACTAAGATCATAGTCATATACCAAGACTATGTGATCTAATGGTATCTGGGTTGGACTTCCATTTGGAAGGTTATGAGTTTGAGCCTCAGTGGAGGCGTTATTGGTTCTTTTTGTTTCAGTTGGTTGAGAAAGTATATGAACAGATACTACAATGTAATAGGACCAGTGACATCCAAAATTGTTTATAATTATGAATATATAGCTTTATAATTATGAACATATAATTCAGTAATTATGAACATAAAGTTATGTAATTGTGAATATAAAGTTCAATAATTATGAATATGAGTTCAAAAATTATGAATATATAACTTTATAATTATGAACATAGAACAGTGTCCACCTTGTAAGGTAAACACAGTTCCACAGCATAACGATTGCATGTGGCTCTATGCTACAACGAGTAACCCAATTAGACATGACACACTACCAATAAAAAAATAAAAAATAAATTTAATAAAAAAAGAGGAAGATAATGATAATGCTACTCAAAAGAGAATTAAGAAGAATTAGAGAAATTTAAATAAAAAATAGTACTCTGTATTTTTTTTAGACTATCACTTTTAGACTAACGTTATTACAAAGTTGCAAAGATTTATTTTAGTGACAATTATAATCAATATCTCATATATTATCTTGCATTTATATACTTTAAATTACCAATTTAAATAAACAAATTCAACATTTATTTACCTATGTATGCACCTTCTATATAATATTGCATTGATATACTTTGAAATACTTATTTAAAAATAATTATTGGGCATTACCCCATTCGCACAAAGCGCGTAAAAAAAATTAGTATTTTAATAAATTTTAAAGAACTATAGAATCTTCTTGGAAAAAGCATCAAATAGGTCATCGGACATTTACTATTCGTGCAATTGGACCACCGAATAGAAAAATGTGCAATTGAATCACATCTAACTCTATAAATTTGTGCAAGTAACATTTATAGCAGGTTATTTGTAGGTAAAACTGATTTTTTTATTTTTTATTTTAAATGTACTGTGGACGGAGGAGACACCATCCTCCTCCGTTTAGGCCGCCAGGGTAGCCTCCTCTGTTCAAGTTGTCGATGGATGGAGGAGGCAGCTTTGCCTCCTCCGTCTAGATCTACTGAGAAGGAGCAATCATGCAGTGCCAATTTTTAGATTTTTGTGGCTCCGTTCTTATAAATAAATAAGGCCCTACTAAAAGTATAAGTGCAATTTAAAATCAATACTGTAAAATATATGACTCTTCTTTTTAGTTACAGAATAATTTTGCTATGCTCAATTAATTAGGTCCTAATTATTAGGAAAGAGAAGTGATGATGAGTTTTAGGATTAATTGTAGATTTTATTTTATTGAAATAAGGGTCAAATATGTCACCCAACTAGGGATGACAATGTGCCCCGTCCCTATAGGGGATGGGGATGGGGACGGGGACAGGGAAAAAAATGCGGGGATCGGGGACGGGGACGGGAAAACCCCTTCCCGCTCCCGAAAATTAAATAAATAAATATATATATATATATATATATATATATATATATATATATATATATATATATATATATATATATATATATATATATATATATATATATATATATATATATATATATATATATATATATATATTAATTATTTTAGGATTATGAATTAGATTATTAGTTGTATTAGATTTTAAAATTAAAATATCAGAAGTCACATTGCCAGTAACTCTAATTCCCTAAGACCTAAGTCGCAGACAAACTCACAGACACTCTGAATATTGAATATGCATATATTGGATTAGTTGAATATTGAATGTTGATAGTATTCAATAATACTTGTAGTGTATATATAACAACAATAAGTAAATGATACCATTGATTTCAATTTTTTTATATAAAAAAATTGTAATAGTTTGATATTTGACTATGGGTTTATCGGGGATGGGGATTCTCTGTCCCCGCTAAATTTTCCGCAGGGACGGGAAATTTTTCTCCGTCGGGGACGGGGACGGGGATGGGGTTGGGGTAGCGGAGACAGGGAGTATACTCCCCGCTCCCGCCCCACCCCGTTGACATCCCTACACCCAACTGCACACCAACCTTCGTCTCCTAGTCATGGAGATGAAACTCTTCAACTCCGGCCATGGAGACGAAGCTCTTCGACTCCGGCTATGGAGACAAAGCTTGTCGAAGATGAATCGTCTCTGGCAAGTTTTTTTTTTTTTAACTTTTTTTTAATTTTAATTAATTATTTTATTTAAAATTAGTTTTAAAAATTATTTTTAAAATTGGTAACCTACCATTCCACGTAAATAGATCATTTTAAATAAAATAACCTATTATGCACAGGGACCTATTACATAATTTTGTGTTGTACAGGGACCTAATTGCATCTATTTTTAGTTTGGTGGCATAATTATACTTTGGTGTGCAATTAAGTGGCCTATTTGACCCTTATTCCTTAATTTTAAGGTACCAAACGTTCTTTATGAAATCAATTGAGTGTCGCAGTACAATACACACCTCTCGGAAAGCGATTTTGACAAAAATTAAGGTGATTGAATGTATACAATCCTTCTTACATAGGCAAATGCATACCAGCCTGTCCTGTGATACATTCAGCCTATTGCGAAAAATAAGTCAAACTCGAACATATCAAATTCCCGAGGAATGAAGATCTCTTCCAACTCAGATTTAGAGGGATAAAATTGTGAATATAAATACTCCCGAATTGTGTAATATTCTTCAGAAAGTGGCCCCTCAAGAATGATATGTTGTATAGCAGCAGCACCACCACCCTGTAAGTAATCAGAATCTCAATTAAAAAGTAAACATTACAAGTGCTCCAATATAATGCTACCAAAAAAAAAAACAATTGAGAAGGAATTGAAGCATTCACCCTTTGGCTTGCATCTCCTACTTTTCGCAAAGTCACATACTCCCCACACCGTAAGGCTCCACCTGCAAATTCTACCTGAAAACACGAGATTTAACATTACTCCTTTGCATGCACAAGAGCAGTAATAGTATAGTATCATCAGAGAGTTTTTAAAATGCCTTTGGGAAACATGCCATGCCACTTTTTTCTTTACCAAAATATCACACCTCCCATTTTTACAAAGGGACATTGTAATAAAAGGTATTTGAGAAAAATTCCATAAATAATAATAATAATAATAATAATAATAATAATGATAAACAACAACAACAATACCTGCACACCCTTGCTTGCAAGAAACTGCTTGAAATCTGACAGTTTTAGGTCTCCAACAAGTACTGTCTTATGTGGTGGAGCAGAATCTGAAAGAGGAAGTAAAGACAACATGCCACTGTCTGTTTTCCCCACTTCAGCATCAACCCATGCTATTTCATAGTCTCCAAGCTACAATTACACAGACAATAACAAATGAGAGATACATCGAAAAAGGCCCAACATAAAGGGTTGAAGACTGTAAGTGCTACATATTCTAGTTGGTCAATCTCATTTTGAAATACTGGACTGGACATTCCAGAACAGAGTACAGCAAATATCGCCACACTACATTGAACTTACTTTCTTAAACAGCACATTGCTCATTAATTTCTCGGATAGTTGCACCTATCATAGAAATGAGCAGAAAACAAAAACAAAACTTTGATCAGTATTAGCATTTTGAAATAATTGTCTACACATACAACAATTTGGGAATATACAACCTTATAAGCACACAAATCTGAAGTAACATCAATCGTTTCTTCAATTTGGGGAGCATAAACATGTGGGCATACATGCTTCAGACAATGTTGTTTCAAATGCTCTGTTGCTTCAGCTGTGCCATGTACCAAAACCTGTAGATCAAAACAGAACACCAGCTGATTAGCATTACAGAGATGGATATCTGCATGCAGTCTACCAAAAGGGTTAATAAAGTTCAGTAGAAAAATGATTGCTTTTTAAAAGTGCAAATTAGACTACAGAAAGAAAGAAGTAGCAAGTTAGCTTATGGGCACAGAAATACAAAGTAGATAGAGAACAAACTAATTTGATGTTATTCTATTAAAAGATAAGGTCCTGATAACCCGTGGTTCAAGGTGAGGCCTCCCCAGATCCCAGTAGGTAATAGCATTTTCACTAGACTTCCCATCAAATAAAAATACTCAGTATTATGGTTTATGGACATCACACATATGAGCTATAATACGATAAAATGCAATGCTAGACTCTACACTCGCTTATATTATTAATATGATCAAATTGGAAAAACCAATGTTTGGTGACACAACTTAACTTAGATAATTTCTTCCATTTTAAAAAAAAAAAAAAAAAAAGATCAAAACAAAAGATACTACACATGACACCACCAGTAGAACAGAAGTGTGTACATACAAGCTTTAAGGGAGCAACATGGGCAAGAATAGATTTGATTGAACGACCATCAGAGCGGCCTTCAAAATCCATGTAAACCAAGGAACACTTGACTTGGACCTGTGTAAGATGAAAGTACAGAACCCCATTAAAAACACAGTATCATCAATAACACTGAGAAATTTAACCTGTCAATTTTTACGAGTTTGAACTAGATAGCAGCAAGCAATATTTTTTTGTAAGTGAAAAAAAAAACAATAAATAAATAAATAACCCAACAAGGTGAGTACTAACTAAAAACAAAAGATAAGCCAGTCTGCCAAGCTATGTGCTCCAGTTTAAAGGTGTTAAAAAAAATCTTTAACTATGCGTCTATGCTCAATGAAGAAAATGTAAGGACTTACAGTTAACTCAGAAGATACAACTTTTGATGGTGTAGTATCAAATATCAGGCTAGCAGATCCCTCATCAAGCTTTCCATGAAGATCTCCATCAACCTAAGTAGAAAATCTCATCAGGTTGAATTATCTAAAAATAGTATTCCACATAAATTCTAATTATATAATTTCATGTCTGTTTTTTTTCACAGTTTATTCACTCCCATCCATCCCTCCTTTTCCATATGATAAAGATATGTAGTGAAGGTCTAAAATTCATGTTACAGAACCCTTTAAAGTGGAGTTCTAAAACTATGATACATATGATTAAAACTAAGCATAACGAAATGGTCAACTGACAGAATGCTAAAATGTACTTCAACACCCTCGTGAACTATCCATAATAGATTCAGAAGTTACACTATACCTAGCAAATGCACACTGCAGATAAAAGGCTATAATTTCTTTCAATTTTTCCTTTTCTTTCCCCTCCAGATCAATAAGACTTAGAAGCATACCAAAATCAAGAACTCACAGGCATCAATGATAACTCCATATGTTCTTCCTGGATGACATAATCATCAGGATTGATGACTTCACCAAAATCATCCCAATCAGAGGACTTAACATAGCAGGGAAACATTGGTGCGACACTAGAAGAAGGTAGAACAAACCCATCAATCAATACATCCTTGTAAGGACCAACTTGTAGACTGGTAGCTGCAAAATTGATATGCCTTGAGATTAATTAAAACTGGATGAAGAATTTTCTGGCCTAGACTGCCTATATATAGGTTTAAATTTTGAAATTAAATTACATGGAATAAATGTTATGCAAATAAATTACTGGAATCTACACACCAGTGGAAAGAAAAAGAAAAAAAAAAAACCCATTCCAAACGTTCCCCCCTCTATTTGAAAATTTATAGCAGATAAGTAATATGAGTAAATTTATTCCCCTTCTATTAAAAATAAATAAGACCTCCTAGTCCCCTCAGCCATTTCAGCTATGCCTATAACTCTGTCTATATTATTAATATCCTAGGAGAGCCAATTCTTCAATAGAATAGCATCTTTTTGAACATTACCATTTAATGAAGTATGTTTGACATTAGATGAATCAATGACCATTGGGTCACTCGTAAGAGTGTCAACTCCAAGAGATGCTTTTGATTCTTCATCTTTAATCATACTAGCTTTGAGAGCTTCCTCCTTTACCCTATTTTGCTCCTCCTCATAAGCAGCTAGCTCTTCTCCAACCAAAGGTATCCTCTTTGACATGGTAACTTTAACTACTTTAGGAGGTGGATCAGACTGAAGCATACGCGCTAGTGTGCCAAACTATATGTAAGTTCAAGGAGCCAAGCAAAAACATGTTTCATTAGATATACAATAGATGATTGAACAAGAACGTGTGATTTTTTCCAAATAAAAAGATTGAATGTCAATAAATAAATGCAGATTAGAAAGTGATGACAATTTAAAATTTATTTGGTGGTAGATAGGAATACCTTGATGACCAAAAGTTACAAATAATATGTGTAATTCAGTGTTGTTAAGGCGTCGCCTAAGCTTCCGATCAGTAGAGACCAATCGCCTATCAAGCTCGCCTTGCCTGAAATGGATGAGGCGAGCTCGTGTGTCGTCCAAGCGTATTGGACACCTAACCCGGTACTAAAACATGAATTGATATATGATATTATATATTTATATATACGGCACCTCGCCATGAAAGTCCGCCTTAACAACAATGATAATTCATACATAGCAAATTTTTCAATATGATATCGGGGAAATCACCATTTTAGTCCTCAATTGTTTCCCAACTGTCAATGTAGTCGCTAGTTTTCAATTTCAACCAATTTGATCATCGAATTGTTTAAAATTTCGTCAATTAAACCCTTTTAGGCGGCCAAATTGACAAAATTTTAAAAATGTGGAAATCACTATTTTGGTCCCGGTAAGGGTTTACTTGACGAAATTTTAAACAATTCAATGATCAAATTGGTTGAAATTGAAATCTAGGGACTACATTGGCAGTTGGGAAACAATTGAGTGACCAAAATGGTGATTAACTCATATGATATCTTATCCATTTTTTGGGGTAACCATAATCCTGAAATGTTTTTAGGAAATATAAGTATATGTTATGAAACAATTAAGACACATTCACCCATCTAGTCACATTCCAGCACAAAGAGCAATCAATTGAATATTTGAATGCAGAGAAAGAGTACACTAAAACATCTAATCTGTAGACAGTGCATAAACAAACCTGCCCTCTTTCGGTGAATAAAACAAGATTCCTTGTATCGGTAGCCCATTCAACAAATATATCATGTGAAAATCCAGCCTCTAGACTTGCCATGGATGCCAGAACCACCTAAAAAGGACATGTTCCCAAATTATAAAACTAAATAAAGACACATCAAGATACCATCTGTTTTAATTAAACAGGCATCCTAACCTTGGGACCTTCTGGCAACTTTTCAAGCTCACTCTTGTTTACCAAAAGTGTGATATGCCTGTCAATTTATGAAATAAATGCTATGGTTAATTTTTTGAAATCTGGAAACACTAAATGGCTTCAACTAGCAGAAATTTTGAGTAGGCTAAGGCAATTGCAAGCAGTACAAAGGCCGCAGAGAACAAAAAAGTAGAGGGACTGAGGGAGTAGTGTTTTGAAAACAAAATTATGATGGCATTTGAACATGCTGTTATTAAGGAGATAGACTGGTCAGTCTGGGGCTACCTGAGATTTAAAATTGTGCACCTATAGTAAGGGTTAACAGAACAAGTACTTTTGTCCAGATGGTAAGCTTGCCACTAAAGAGAAAGTCTGATAAAATTAATGGTAAAGTGGGTGGAAGAAACTGATCTTACTTCAAAAGAAAAGCATTATCCCGTCTGTCCTCAAAAAGACTTGGCTATTGAATCACTCATCCACTCAAGGAAGCTCTTGACATAGTCAATTGTACTTGATGCAACATATGTGAGAAAAAATATGGAATAGCTCAAACCCTTTTGATGCCAGTGCTGGAATTTTCAAAGAAAATAAAAAAAGGGAAATCATTACAATTACCTGGTGATGCAATGACTACAGTTTCATTACCAACTAACCTGCTCTAGCAACAAAATGAGTTCCAATACGCGACCAGCAGTATCTACAGGTAGTAATACTTTTCCACCAGCATTTAGAGTCTTCTCAATGCTATCTGTGGTAAATAAGGGAATATGTTTGCATAAGTACTGAAAGAAAAAACAACCTCCATGTAAGTCAAGTCCAAAGCTGAATCACTGGACTCTTCTAGAGGACTGGTAATAGATTGTTAATTTAAGCAGGCAAGAATATGTTTTAATTATCATTTAAAAAGAAGCAAAATCTGGCCGACTGCTAAAAAATTCAATAATTTTCAAATTACTCAAGGAGCAACTTTTACCTAGAAATTCTTGATCCCTCTGACGTCTTGAAGGCTGGTTGCTCAAAGCATTATAGGCATCAGTAATTAGGACAGCAGGGCGAACAAAAGACTCTAAAATGGTTCCATTTAAAAGCCTGATAGAAGCAGCGGAAAGTCAGTTTCATAATTACACAAGTTATTCCCTAACACCCTAAACCCTAACTCTACACACTAATACAATAATTACACAAGTTATAACAAATATTATAATGCATGACCTTTCTTTGCGATGATTAAAGTCAACAGCATATATAACATCTTCCCCATCTTTTGTTATCTTCCAGACTGTACCCCCTAGTAGATGACCAGATACATGTGGAGCAATGACAACTCCTTCACCTTTCCCTGGCATTAGTTAACAATTTTCAACAAGAGATAACCAAAAGATAAATTTCATTACTCCACACCCAAAAAAAAAAAAAAAAAAAAAAAAGAAGAGTTAACTAAACAAAAATAAGAATCAAAAAGTTGTATAACATTAATGGGGTCAAGATAAAATTAATTAAGAAAATCCTAACAAGATTCACTTTCTTGAGTCTTTGAAAACCCCCTACCCTCAATCTCTTTCCCTGTTTTTCTTTGGCTCATCATGTTGATTTCTATTTTTTTGTTCATAAGCCCAAGACTGCTACTCTATTCTCCTAGAGTCTCCCTTACTCTTTTCTTCATTTTTGTTGTAAATAAAATAAGTTTGTCCTCTTTTTAGGGCAGGGGTGGGGTTGGCGGCTGAAGCTTCTGAGCTTAGGTCTATAGGGCATCATCTTGGCCAGCTAAGTCAAGGTTCATTGGCATTGTTTTCACACATTTTATAGTACCCGATACTTATTGAAAAACTATACCCTTAAGTTATGAAAACAAAAAGCTCAACTAGGTTTAGGGTGCAATGACTTTAGTTGGGTCCATATACACTTCATTCTAGACAAGACAAAACAAGATTAAATTAGTTGAATTAAGAATATCTAAGGAAAATCTCAACAAACAAAATACAATGCTTACCGGACATATGATAGTTCTGAGAGTAGGTTAATCTGGTGACACTTTGGAATGCAAAATCAATGTCATCCAGGGTAAACAAATTAAAATCGGACACTTGCTACAAAAAAAAAAAAAAAAAAAAAAAAAAAAAAGAGTAAAGGAGTAAGCAATGTGAACAAGAACAACCCATAGGAAAGATAATTTTTATAAAATGATGTAATAGAGGTTTACCTTACGCGAGAGATATTGATCATACATAGTTAATAATCCTAATCTATAAACAGGTTCAGTGGCGTAAACAGGAGCAGCTAATCCAAAGTGTTTCATGGCATAGGGCAGGGCACCAAGGTGAAGGGTGTCTGGATACGAGAGCAGCACGGCATCCACTGTTGATGCTACCCTGAATAGATGTACAACATTTTTAAATAGAAAATACTAATGTGTTAGTAATTAGAGAGGACAAAATGTTGTTGTCAAAACTATGCAATTTACAATCTGCTTATGTGCCCTAAATAAGGATTACAATCAATTCTCAATTCTTGGCTGGAACAAAATCATTTGCAAAAGTAGTAATTCCAAAAAACTAAATTAATATTGAAGCATTTCAAGTTGAATATGTGTGCACACAAACATAGAGAGACAGACAGACCGACCTGGACAGGGGTTGGAGAAGAGAGGTATCAAAGTGGTCATTCCAACCACAGTCAATAAGGAAGTTAAAGCCATCAACGGAGACAAGGTAGGAGAGAGGGTTTTCGTTATACACTCCACACAATGGCTTCACCTGCACTGAAGTTCCCATGGCAGTGATTCTCTTTGCTTTCAACTGAGCTTTGCAGTTGTGAGGGAGAAGGCTTTCCGTCTAAACCAGTGAGAAAAATACCAATAATTTGAATAAATACATTATTGACACACAAATACTAACATAATAATTGAAAGTCAAAATGTGAAACCAGTGAGAAAATATAAAATGAAATAGCATCAAGTATACAATTTGAATAACAAAAACATTCAAATAACAAAATGAACTCCACATTTCCATTGAGTTACTATTAACTAATAACATTATCCCATATGAGTATTCAAATATCATTCCGTAATAATTTTTCCGTACTCCCTAACATTTGAATGACAAAGTAACAACAAATTAACAGCAGCAGCACTTGAGCAAAATTAGCTGGTTTCAACTTTCAAGAGCAGAGACTCTACAAAGTTGACAAGATTAATATTCAAATATCATTCTATCTTGCCTGTTAAAAAATCGGTTTCTGTCAGTTTCTCATGTAATGATTAATTAGAATATACTATTCAACCTCCCCATTTGGTTGTTGCTTATTCCACGTAAAACGCAGAAAGATTATCTCGAAATTGCAACTTACAAAACGAAGGAAACACACAATTACAAAAATGAAACGTCAACTGATAAACATTTGTCGTCACTGCAGGGTAGATTACCAGAGAAAGATTGTGAGGTTGCAAGCTTGTATCACTATGTGCCTGCGTCTCATACTCTTAGCTTTGCAGATTCCGGCATTGCTGTGCGAGACTGGGGGAGGAGAGACCCTTGCAGATTCCGGCGTTGATGCGCAGCGAGACTGGGGGAGGAGGGGTAAATTCCAACTCTACAAGTCTACAAACATCAAACATATAAAACATTTAAACATACTGCATACACACTAAAAAGTAAAAACAGAATATAGAAACATACACACTGGAAACTGGAAAGTGATAACTTAAGAAATACAATTTTATTATTAGCAAGAAAAAAAAAATCACACAACAAAACTTGTTAACAAGGCAGTATTAATACTCTAGGAAATATAAATAAATAAATAAATAAAAACAGACCTCGTAGTCTGGTGGACTGCTGGCCGTGGAGTCGAGGGCTGGTGGACTGGAGCAGACGACGGCGAACTGGAGAAGAGTAGAAGACTGGCCGCCGGTGGATTACTGAGCAGACGACGGACTGACGCAGAGCTGGAGAAGACTCGTGGACGACTGGACGGTGGACCTCGTGGTGGCCGGCCGCCGGACGCCGGTGGAGCAGTGAGTAGACGACGGGCTGACGGAGAGGTGAGGCCTGAGGGAGACGAGACGAGTCGCAGTCGGCAGTGCTGAAGCCGCAGAGGGAAAAGGGAATTAGGATTTATGGATTTTCTATTTCAGATATGGAATTAGGGATTAGTATTTGACATATTACATTATATATTTATTTTTTGAAAGATAAGGAGATGGATTCATTAATAATCAATCAACACCGAAATGTAGGTCGGTGGCTCAGCGAACCACGATCCAAAGTTAGACAAAGAACCAGACACTCGTGCTAACATGTGGGCAACATGATTTGCTGACTTATATATATATATATACTAGTTATGACACGCACTTTGCACGATTAGACCAATGCCCAATGTGTATTTATAAATTAGTGTTCCTTAATTGGTTAAATTATTCATATAATAATGAGGGAAAGAACACATGCTTGAAACAAATTGAAACCTGTTTCTGTCTCCACCACTCAGAAATTTTTTTTTTATAGAGCCACAAAAATTGGCAAAGTAAATACTCATCAGGAGTGATTCCTTCCAACATCATTTTTTGAAACAAATTGAAACCTGTTTCTTCTTCACCATCCTGTACAAAGCCAACAATAATCGCATTCCAAGATATATGATCTCTACCTGGTATTAGATCAAATTGTTGCATAGCATCACCAAGAGATCCAGATTTGGCATACATATCTACTAAAGCATTTCCCACAAATAGATTAGATGCAAACTTATTCTTGATTATGATAGAATGCAATTGTTGCCCCAAATATAAATCTTCCAAACAAGCACATGCACTTAAAATGCTAGTGTAAGTATATTCATCAGGTTGAAAACCAAAGAACATCATATCCATGAAGCTAAGAGATTTAGGACTTCACGAGCATTACCATTCTGTCATTCTGTGCATACCCAACAAGCAATGCATTCCATGATACATCATTCTTTTCAACCAACCCATTAAATACTTCTTTTGCAACTTCCATTTTTGAACATTTTGCTTACATGTTAATCAAAGAACTCCCTACATAAACATTTGATGCTAAACCCTGTTTAACCGCCAAAGCATGAACCTGCAATCCATAAGCAAGATTTGCAGCACATGCCATTGCACTCAAAACACTTCCCAAGGTTGATCTTGTGGGCTTAATGCCAGCTCGTACCATATCATGAAAAACGTTTATAGCTACTACTTCTTTTCCAGCCTTGGCATATCCAGAAATCATCACATTCCATGCCACAACATTTGGATCAGGCATCTGGGAAAAGATTCCCTGAGCAACATCCAGCCTTCCTAGTTTGGTACATACATTGATGAATGTTATTGTTGAATCTTCATTGCTAAATTACATTTGAATCTATTGGTGTTATAATCCTTGCCTAAGTCTTGGACTTAACCCACCTACCTTTAGTGAAGAACTGAAGACCTATTACATGTTTAGTTAACCAGTATGTATACTGCTATTCAGAAATCTAGATTTGCAGAAACATTTTAAAAGCTTGAAACTTGAAAGAAAGATACTTGGTCAGGTTGAAAGAAATTTAGATTTGCAGAAACAATTATTTTGCCCTTTCTTGATAGTATTATTGTTATTATTGTTGTTATTGTATTTTGGAAAGCAATCTTGAGTGTCTTTTTTATCATCTCCATTAATGGGTATTTTACTCTTCTTATTCTACATTTTTCTCCTTGCTCAGCATCCTTAAACTTGATATAAATAGTAGAGTAACCACATTATAAGACAATGACAATTAAGAAGGTGCAGACTACACAAGCACACAACCTATTAAAAACAAAAAATTAGAGCATTCACAAAAATCAATGTGGTTCAAGTATGTTTAAAAGGAACCATAAAGCTTAAACATAAATCAACAGCAATGTGGATAAAGACTGGCAGACTGCACAAGCACACAACGTATTAGAAACAAAAAATGAGAGCATTCACGGAAACAGGAAGGAAATAGCATGCAGAACTGGGTTGAAGATCTATACTGGAAGCAGCTTGATTTAGATTATCCTGGAATGGATGGTGCAATGGTGACTACTTTGCCAATTTGTGTGGCTCTATAAAACTCTTTTATGATAGCTATAAATATTCATATTCCTTCTGATTTCAGGTGCATCATGGATTTTATAATTGTTATAATAATTCAACTATACGTTCTAAGAGATTTGATACCTCCGTAGTAACGATCTTCCTGAGAGTTTGATAAGTGTGGAGTCTGGAATTGACGATCTCCTTCCTCCTCCTAACTCCGGCGGCGGCAGACGATGCCCTCCTTCCTCCTCCTAACTCTGGCGGCGGCAGACGAAGCCCTACGTCCTCCTCCTAACTCCGGCGGCGGCAGACGAAGCCTTACTTCCTCCTCCTAACTCCGGCGGCGGCAGACGAAGCTCTCCTTTTGTCGCTTTTCCTCCTCCTGCCTCTATTCGTGGATGTTCACTAAACGGTCTACCCTTAATCTTCTTGCTTCTCCTTACTGCCATTCAATTTCATTTAAACTACACATTTGCCACCGCAACTTCAATTGACGGAAGCTGTTAAATTTAACATTGTAATTTTACTATTAGTAAGAAGAACTAGTAGTTGCACCCGTGCGATGCAGGGCTATATATATATATATATATATATATATAGTATATAGAGTATACAATATAATATAATCAGATAGAAAAATATGTCATTTAAAATTATACAGTTTGTGTAATTTTATTACACATTGTTAAAGACTTCTTTGTACACAACATTTTTCATCGTACTTAGACGTGTTACATTTTCGACACAAATTCAAAAATTTAAACCTCTTGAGTTACTAACCTTTAAAACAACTACGTACATTTGTCCATGGTTAAAGATATGCATTTTCAAAAACAATCCCACTTTTGAGAGTGTTTGCCATTGGCTTTGTTTATTCTCATGACATAAGATAGCATCAAATGAAATTACTCTCGTTGGAATTTGTGCAGACAATCTTGGATCTGACGGTGTTAGTGACATTTTAGGAATTAAGACCTACCTTTATTCCTGAATTTGTACCACACATGATTTGGGCATCACACGGGTATCAGTCAGCCTTGTAACAATCAACCTCGTACCATTACACAATCCTAGAACATGATCAATATTTCTCAAAAGCATAACAGGTGATCCAATTTTCAAAGTCAAAGCATGATTCGGTACTCCAGAGCATCGCAAACCATTCAAGAATTCTGGGGTGTGCAAATTAGCTAACATATCTACATTTGAATTGGACTTACAAACAGAATCACAAGTCAAATAAGTCATACCTTCTGCCCGATTATGATAATTCATGTATTGATTAATGCTATCTACCACATCTAATGTTGTAGTCAAAATATCACTATTCTTAAGATGGGACAGATCACCTATACCGCGTCGAAACAAAGGGAATGTGCTATCAACAATTACAACAATAGGATCATCGTCACAGTTGAACAATAAGTGATCTGGAATTGTAGTATCTGCTTCACCATCAGTTGAATTACCAACTACTCAATCACCTATATTAGATATCCATTTGCAAACTCTTCAATCTCTTTAGCCTCAAACTCTGATTGTACACTTCTAAGGCGCAGATTTTTAGTTAGCCTAAATACTTTACAGGATCTCCAGACAAATGGAGATGCAGCTTCGAATATGATCTCTGATGGGCAGCCTTTTATAGGTTTAAAGTATAGATTACATGGCTGCTCTTGAACAATTTTCAAGAGCAGCCAGATTATTAGAATTGCAAGTTCTCATTTAATAAGAGCAACTTTTTATTATCTTGTCAATTTATTTATTTAATTATTTCCTAGTGTGTAATAATTAGAGTTAAATTACATTTTTATAAAATGTTTTAGATTTTTTAGAGTTTATATATATATATATATATATTACAATACCTATATATATAGGTGATAAGTAGTTATTGCCTTTTAATTTACCAATGTATATTTTGAATTATACTTTGGAAATCTCATAATGCATTCAATTAGGCAGATTTTATATACATTGGTAACACAAAGAATTTTAAAATTATTGTTCTATACAACAAAAGGGACGGCTGAGAGTATTAGAAAAGTATATTGTAATGTGAACAACATTAAATAATCATCTCTGATCACATCATGGCAAAACAACAACATTTTTACTGGGCAGGAAAACGAAAATAGCAAGAAGTTCTTGCTTTATTATAGAGCTAGTAGTTGCACCCGTGCGATGCACGGCTATATGTATATTATATGTCACCCGACTATAAATATTATAAAGTTAATATTAAAAAAAAATTATACATTTTCTAAAATAGATTATGTATATTGTAATATGAAATCTTATTAAGAAATAATAGTGTTATTATTTTAATACCAATTACCCCAAAAATATTTTAATGCTACAACCCAAAATTTCATTCATAACCCAATATATATAAACCGTCTTACCATAATTTATGTCATATATTTTTCCTTTGTCCTCATTACTCGTTCTTCTCGCCTCTCTCTAATTGGTCCCCCACCTCTCTCTCTCTCTCTCTCTCTCTCTCTCTCTCTCTCTCTCTCTCTCTCTCTCTATATATATATATATATATATATATATATATATATATATATATATATATATATATATATATATATATATATATATATATATATGCCTGAAACCTCTACTGCACAATTTTGTAAAAAAAAAAGTTCTATTTTCAAACTACAATACACGATATCTATTATAGAAATGGAGCTCCAAAAGTAGTAACAACCACAAATCTAAGAAAAGTCCCACTAAGATAAACACTATAGATTTGTTAAGTAATCCCATCTTATATATATATATTTCCTTTTTCTTTATAATAATATTTGTTTTCATCCATTCCATCATGTAAATATCTTTACGGATCTACATATTCTTTAGGGTTTTTACAGGGTTATTTGTCATTTTAAAGTCTGATAATTATATTTTAAAAAAAAAAAGAAAAAGATTTAATTTGAAAAAATTGACCTTTAATTTTCTTAAGAAATATGTTAAACAAAAAATGCTAAAACCTTTTATTTGAAAAAATAGACTACTTAAAAGTCTAATATTTATGTTTTCC